GGGAGCATAATTTCATGTATGTGGAGCTAAAGTTGAAGTCTTTTTCCTGATGTGTGTGAATTGACTGATTTCTTGATAGTGTAGTGCTTGAATTTGACTTTTGCTGAATTGGGTGTTTGGGGTTTTTAATCTTGTTTGTGCAATGATATAAGTGTATGTGGAGGTTAACCCCTTTGCTGTAAGCTCCTTTTTCTTGTTAATATCATATATCTTTTATGGTTTATTTCTGAAAATTATGATGGTCCTTTTTTTTTTGGGGGGGGGGGGGGGGGGGGGGGGGGGTCATAGTTGTATGTATGTGGAACTTAAGTTCAGGTTTTTATCCTGATGGGTATGTGAATTGACTGATTTCTTCATAGTGTAAGACTCGAAATTGACTCTGTCTGACTTGAGTATTTGGGGTTTCAATCATCGTTTCATGTGTGTGGAACTAAAGTTCAAGGTTTTTTCCTCATGGGTATGAGAGAATTGACTGAATTCTTGATAGTGTAGGACTTGAAATTGACTTTGCCTGAATTGGGTGTTTGGGGTTTCAATCTTTTGTCTCATAATTTCATGTGTGGGGTACTAAAGTTCAAGTCTTTTTCCTGATGGGTAAGTGAATTGACTGATTTCTTCCTAGTGTAAGACTTGAAATTGACTTCGTCTGAATTGGATATTTGGGTTTTTAATGTTTTCTGTGTCATGATATAAGTGTATGCCGAGGTTCATGTTTTGTATGACTCATTAAAACTGATTGCTTTAGTGTTCATTTTCTGTCTTGTTCTTTGTAGATGATTCATCATAACTTGCCATCTGTTTGAAATTGTTGTGTGACTTTTTGGCCATAAAGCTTTAGCTAGGTTCTGCTTATTTCGCTGCCTCTAGAATTCTTGGTAAGCTATCTTATCCTTGGAAAGGGGTTTAGAAATCTTTGTCAAAAAGTTACTCGTCACCAAAGGGTATGGCATAGTGGTCAATGAAGTGAGGAAAACCATGAGGTCTCTTGTTCAAATCCCAACAAATACACAAAATGCTAGGTGATTTCTGCCTAAGCCTTGGTGGGTAGAGTTACCTGGTACCTGTGCTGGTAGGAGATAGTAGATACCCTGTGGAATACTCGAGACGAGCGCAAGCTTGGCCCGGACACCACCGTCATAAAAATGAAATGGTTGTGTTTGGCCAATGACTGTTGGAGGTTGGTCAGTTCCACATTTTATAAGAATATGAGCAAAAGGTCCTGCAACTGTAAGATGCTTATACATTTTAATTCTGAATGTGTTTGCTAGTACAAGTACTAAATATCAGAATGTCACTGTTAGTGGATAAGGAACTTCACAAGGCATGTATAATTCCAATCCCAACGCCTAATTCTCATTAGAGTTGACAAGTAAATGCAATTTAACAAAAAAATCAGCGTAAATAGTAATATTTCTAATCATGACCACGTTTTTGGAAAATCTTGGACAAATTCTACCAATCTTATCTGAAAACAAAAACCTTCTAATCCTTGATACTATATGTTTTGAATGTAAAATCTTTTATGTATATTTACGAAACTACATGAAATGATGTTGTTGCGTCATATTGATTGGCTTATTGCAGGATGTATTATCTTTTCCCGCGATCTCCTTTGCCTGAATATCAATTATGACTTAAAAGCCATGCGTTAAAGACTTAAAGCAGATATTTTTTTTCCAGATCTTGTAAGTTGGCCAATTTATCTTCTGATATATTTTTTGCAGGATGGAGGAGGAAAATCAAGGCAATCAAAATTTAGTGGTGGCGCGTTTTATACCACAGTAAGTTAGATGGGCAGTCCCTACCTTCTACCTGTGTCCGTCTTTGTCTGTCTGTTTTATGGAAATTGTGTACTACGTATATTTAGTGAGAGTTTGTTTTCGCTGATCCCAACTAGTTTGGGACTGTAGGTTAGTTGATGGATTAAGATTTGCTTGCAAAATGTATGCCAAATTCAGAGCAGCATCATACTAAGGCATTTCATCATCATAAATATCAAAATTACTCAATAAATGTATGAAAAACGTCGAAGTTCCACTATTTTGTATAATGGATTCTGTTGCTATCAAACTTGATCTTCTATTCCTTTCCTTCCATATGGTTCACATTAGAGCTAGAAAAAATTACTTCCCAAGCTCTACTTTTGTGCTTCTCTTCTGTATTTCCAAGCTGTCAACATTTCATGTACAGTGCTCTATCTCCACAATTTTCTAATGAAGATATTGTTTTCTTCTCAAATTCAAAATATGTTTTGCTTTGCAATGACTAATCATTCAGTGGGAGATCTGAGTTCTTCTGTAGATATCATATTTGAACCCTTATCTTGATCCTTGCTAATAAATGTGTCATCTTTTCACTTTTCAGAGTACTGCGAGTGTTCCTCCAGCGACAAACTCAAGACTTTTACCCCTTCCGCATGAACCTGCTGATTTCTATGGTGGTGATGCTCCTATTGATATTCCTCTTGATAGTGCTGCGGTACTTTGCACATTTGAATTTGTTGAATGTGATTAGATATTTACCCAGTTTATCTTATTTAATATCTATTGCTATGATATCTTTATAGGACTTGAAAAAGAAAGAGAAGGAACTCCAGGCTAAGGAGAATGAATTGCGAAGGAGGGAACAGGTACACATTGTATTTGAACTGAATTTGTAATAGTGCTAGGTCTTTTTCTGGAACCATGTTTCTTGATTAGCTTTCAACCAGTTCTTCTTTTAACAATATTAAAAGTTATTTCTTCTATAGGTCTTTTTCCCCCTATTTGTAATCCCTGGATTGTTTTCGGATGTCCACGTTAGGATTCTTTCTCGTCCTTGCTCTCTTTTAGAGCTTGTAATACCATGGGGGGAAGTGACCAAATTGCAAGCTTGTTCTGCAAAATAGTTTAAAGAATAAATAATACAGTTTTTTCTTGCAGACTTCGCCTTTTCTATGAAATTATGTTTACTCTTTTGTTGTATTGTAACGCTTGTGACTAAAGTTGACTCCTAATATACCATTAAGCAATACAGTATGTAGGTCGATGCTGACTTTTGATTTGTTTCATTTGTTATCAAGCCTCTTATGCTGGGTCTAATTTGTCATAATTCTTTTCTGTAACTTGTCTTCACGGTTTCCTATATTGGTCCTAAAGCTTAAAATGGGAGACAAAGTCAGCTTCCAAGATCGATCCTATCCCATATTTACCAGCAAAAAGATGAGACAATCATCCCCTGGTCTCTAAATTGCATTATAGTATGTGTTTTGTGGCTGAGTCTCTTTTGGCTTTTCTTCTTCTTCCACCAGTTGAAATCAATGTTGACCTTGAGACATTGCAAGTAGAAAAATATTCGTCCCTTCTGTCCCCAGCAGCTCATGTTTGCTTGTGGTACAAACGTCATTATTCACTGATTTGGTTTGTTGATGCCGTGCAGGAATTAAGGCGAAAAGAAGAGGCTGCTGCAAGAGGTATTTCCTTTTCTCCTATATTGTATCCTTTTACAACTTCTAGATTTAAACGTGGGGCTATTTTAGTCTACATCTAAACTAGGAACCTAAAAGGAAAAAAATAAAAATAAAATCCAAGTACATAACCAGAAGTAGAGCTGACTGAACTTTTCTTCTTTTTGTTTTGACTTCCCTGATTTTTCATTCTTTTCATGGTCATTGTCTTGTTTCCTTCTCCTATGATATCCATTGTGCCTGTCCAAATTTAATTACGATGGTGTAACCAGTGGCAGAGCCACCTTATGCTGGTCGAGAAATTATACTCCATTGTTTAGCTAGGTCAATATTTAATTTTTGTATATATATACTATATGTTGACTCCCCTTATTTTATTAGTGTGATTACTGTTTTATACTTTGACACCCCATAGTAAAATTCTTGGCTCCGCCACTGGATGTAACCATAAGTAACGTGGATCTTATGGTTTTCCTGAGTATTTATAAGCTTACTTAAAAGGTTACATGGTTCAGATAATTTAATGCAGTGCATTACAAGTCCCTCTATTCTCTCTGATTTGCAGCTGGCATTGTTATTGAGGCAAAAAATTGGCCTCCATTCTTCCCAATTATCCATCACGACATTGCAAATGAAATACCTGTTCATTTGCAAAGGCTGCAATATGTCGCATTTACTACATTGTTGGGTACGTCAACTTTACCTCACTATATGTTACTTTGTTCTAGTTTGAAGCACCTTATGTGACGGACGCTTTCTACTTTTTGACTTTTCCTGTCATGCAACATTTAAGACTTAATAACTGTTGCATTGGACCAAAAAACAAATCAACAATCAGGCATGTTTTTCTTTTCTGAAGACAAGTAGACTTGGGACCTAAAGCTGCATTTGGCTTCCATTTGATACATTTAATTTACTTAGTTGCGAAGTTTTTTGGAAGTAAAATGTCTTGTCTTTTTTCTTTATGGTATTGAAGCATATTTTACAAATGTCATTCTGGCATAACTTATTGAATCTTCTTGGCAAAGTGAAACATTGTTATTATCCCCTTTATAAAAAAATCAGAAGGGGAAAAAAACATCACCATCAAAATGGGCAAAAACGAGAGTTCTTTTTTCTATTCCTTTCCTTTTCCCAGATTTTCCTGCAAGACCTTCAAGTAATTAAGTACAAAATTTAGAAAGAGCCTGTTTCAGTTCTCTGTCTCTTTCCTCTTGTGTCTTGACCAACACTTTAACTATTATAACCAGAACAAGTTTTTCCCCTCATTTTGTCCATATTTTGTTGCAAACCCTCCAAGTAATTAGGTTAGGAAAGCATCTATATCAGTCTGTGTAGTATGAAAATTGAGGATTGGTGAAATTCTTTGCATTACTGCCTCCCTCTTGGCCAACACTTTAATTTATTTTTTATCAACCACACCAATCGAAACAAGCTTTTGTGAGCATTCAGTTATTTCATTAATAGAATAAACTGATTTACGTGTTATAGCTTAGGAGATCTGTCTATAATAGTTTTAGTGTTCGTATGCTTGCTTTTCCGCTTTTTTACATCGGTGAGATTTTTGTTGCTCCCTTCCTGATTGGATAAAAGATGACGGTGACAGGACTTTTTGCATGCCTTTTATGGAACATCATAGCTACCACTACAGCATGGATTAAAGAAGGAGGTTTGTCTAATTCAGCGTGTTCCTTTTCCCTAGACTTCATCACTTATTGCTAGAGTGTCCTAACTTTTAGTTTTTGGCTTTAGATGTAAAGATTTGGTTCCTTTCTATTATTTACTTCATATCGGGGGTTCCAGGAGCCTATGTACTGTGGTATCGTCCTCTTTATCGTGCTTTCAGGTAAATGTTCCTTCCTAGTAGATAACTAAACATTTACTTTCAGAATTAAATCAGCCACTTTTTGAATGCAGTAGTCCAGAATGTAGACTGAACTTAATGATTATGTAGCTGTAGTATTAGGCAAAAGCTTGTCCATTATTAAGATATTATAGGCCGCTGATAATATTTTCAGTTCCACTTTTTTGTTCCTTTCTTTGTGGGACTAACACAAATATTGTCACAGAACTGAGGGTGCCATGAAGTTTGCATGGTTTTTCTTGTTTTACTTGGTAAGTTCCATACAATTGTTTTTCCTTATCTCCTATCTAAATTGGTGAATGCAAAGATATGTCTTATATTTTGCTTCTGTGTACAGCTTCACATTGCATTCTGCATCTTTGCTGCTGTTGCCCCTCCAGTAGTTTTCAGAGGAAAATCACTTACGTAAGAATCTTGCATTTGACTTGTTTTTAAAAAGTTGTGTAAATGCATTATTTAAAGTTCCTTTCTGATGTTGAACTTAGCTTCTAATCCCATGTAAAAGAAAATGAGGAGGGAAAATGAGTGTAGTTACTAATTGTTGCTCAGTTTGAACATCTTAATCTAATTCATGCAACTTGTAGCAACAATCTAAGTCCCTTCTTTTTAGATAATTGCTTTTAAATTTCTCCGGATTTCTTCGACGTAGTTGCTATTATCTGTTTCTAAATTGTTTCCCTTGAGCCGAGTTCTACCGGAAACAACCTCTCTACCTCCGCGAGGTAGGGGTAAGGTCTACGTACATATTACCTTCCCAGACCCCACACTGTGGAAATACATTGGGTATGTTGTTGTTGCTGCTATTATCTGTTTCCGTGATCTGACCTTGTACAATTTGTTTGAACAGAGGCATTCTACCTGCGGTAGATCTCATCGGCAAACAAGTACTTGTTGGGGTACGTTTTNTGCTTGAGTAGTCATCTGAAGTCTGACTATTAATATGACTTTTACTTTCTGGCGTTTAGGTTTTCTATTTCATCGGTTTTGGTCTATTTTGTCTTGAATCAGTACTGAGCATCTGGGTTATTCAGGTATGCCCTCCCTCTTTATCTGATTTCTCCACACACTAAGTTTTATTCTTGCATCTTAGGGAGTGAGAGGCGTAACCTTTTTGTTCTTTGTGATCTCATTATGCAGCAAGTATACATGTATTTCCGAGGAAGTGGTAAAGCTGCAGAGATGAAGCGCGAAGCTGCTAGAGGGGCCTTGAGAGCAGCAATATAATCGTGAATTGCGGGTGAGGTGTAGCAGATATAGAATTTGGTCACTTCAGTCAGGCAGATATGCTTGTTTCATATTTTGAGTTATCATTCTTGTGATGTATGTCTTCATTTATACTACTTTGACCACAATGATTTTCAGAAAAAAATATAGAGATCTTGTAAATCTGGCAAAAACAATCTTTGCGTATGTAAATCTCGCCTTTTTTGACCTTGGCCTTTCTATTTTTTGGCATGCCCTCTTAGCTCTGTTGGACTGATCAAAGTTATATCGAACGTATATATATTAATTAACTATGATGTAGTGATAATGTTGTATGTGAACATGTGTTATGTATTTATTGATTTAGAATAAACACAAGATACAGTAAGTTTTTCTCTGTCAGATGCCCCGTCTTAAATCCTTAATCAAAGGTTTTGGGTTCGAGCCTGAGATTAAAAGAGAATCTTCATAGGCAGTGCTTTTTTCCTTTAATGATTTTACGTGGTGCGACTCCGGATTAATTGGAACGGGTATTGGACAACGGATGAGAAACAAAAAGAAATAATGTTTAGTTGATGATCGATTTGCGACAATCTCCCAGGTATTGATTTCAAAATATTAGGCCTGTCATTAAGCTTTCATTAAGTTGGTTCAGCAATTGATTGTGCTTACTGAAATGTCTCAATCCCGCTACTTTTATTACTCGCTTCTTTGTTTATATTAAACCAAGTTAATTTACTATGGTTAAGTGATCAACTTCAATGAAAGTACATAGTATTAGTTAATTTATGATTATGTATTAAAATTGTATTAAAACATGTATAATACATTGATTTAGCGTAAGTATTGAGCATAAATATTTTTTCTTTATCGAATTTAAGGCAAATTATATCTTGAGCTAACTTTGCAAAACTTCTCCATCGAATTTAAGGCAAATTGACAATACCATCAAATATATTATGATTGCTGTTCTTCTGTAGGTTCAGCTATACTGCCCAACGTTCTACTTTATATGCTTTAATTAATAATCATACATCCTTTGTTCGTTAATTTTCCTAACAAGTTTTATAAAAATAATTGGGTGATTTTCGTTCTTGTTTTTATCTTTTAATATGTTCTTACCAATTGTTTGATTCGATTAACTGTTATTTTTATTTTCTACTAATTTAGACATTACATAGAAGAGGTTCAATGTACGTACTGTTGAAAGAAATGGTAGAAAATAGTCATGTTCTAATTTATATGCTTTGGTAATTTGCTTTCCCATGAAATTACGACAAGCAGCTAAAGATAGATATTATCACTTTTAACCAGCGTCAGAAACTATTTACATTCGATAGCCGAAAAAATATATATAATTTGTATATAACATACAGT